TTGTTTGTGTTTATCCTTGTTTTGCCATTACCTTGCCCTTACATGTTATATGTACAACCTTTGTGTTCTTTTGTAACCTATTCCTGTTGATTATTCTTGTTTTTCCTTATTTGTATTCCTAGTTCACTTGTGTTTTTGTGTGAACTTTTGTGTAGTGTAGGTTGTTGGGTACGTTCTACACACTTAGTTGATTTTGTATGAGTACACTAGTTTAGTACAGGTGAGTGCTGTTTGTCTTGTATGGTTTTGGTTAGTCAGTGGAGGTTCGCTAAGGTGTTGAAGACACTGAAGACCATGTGTTTCAGGTTTTCTTTTGTAGTCAGGTTAGCTTTCCCTCACTTTCCTAGCCAGCTCCATTTTGTTTATTTTCTCTTTGGCACCACTCTAGTTCCTTACCCCTGTGTATTATGTCTTACCAGTCACTTATTCAATTTAAAATCACTTTTGCACCCACCTTTGTTATCATGCTTCCTAGTCCCTCACCAGAACCCACCTGCTTCCAACAGAATAATCCTCAATGTTACACCCCTTTACCCCTAGACACTTGGGGTCGTAACACAGCTAGAAGGCAAGCAGAATGCCTCCTGAGGTTTCTAGAGGAAGTCTCACCCACTAAGGGCTCTGAGTGGCTGAAAATACAATGAATGACAAAGTTTTTTACCAATCGGGTTGCCTTATTTCTATTCCAAAGTCAATAACGTTCAGTTTCCTCCAGGTCTGGAGGTGGGTTAGTCTTGCCTTTTTTGGACGTATATTGTGCTTCAGAATAAGGTATAGTATAGATATATACCTATATATTTTGCTGGCTTTTGCGGACTTGTTTTGCTGGCTTATCGATGCATTTTGGAAGTAGATCATCAGATTAAAAGTGACTTTGTGATCAATTGTCTTGTTTAAAAAAAAAACTTTTTTAAAGCTCCAGTTGTCCTTTTTTGAAAACATGTATTTGTTGTTTTTTTGGTAAAAAACAATTAAATTTGACGCAGGAATCAAAAGTAAATATTGATTTACACCATGGACGCTTGCGACTATGCCAAGCACGGGCTTTGTTTGATTAAATGAATGTTTTTGTTTCGGTTCTGAAAACAGTTTTGTGAAGCTCTAGTTGAACCTTTTTCGATTGATAAAAGGTTTTCTGTAAAGGTTTTGTGGTTTTGGTGATGTAAAACGATGAGGTGAGATGCTCCTTTTAAATCAAGTTTCTTAGACAGTAGTTGTGTGTGGCCACATTTGCACTAAAATACACTTCACTGTCTAGTTTATTCTTAAAGTTTCTTTTAGAGAAAAATGCTTTTATTCTACTATAATTATAATTTTTTTAAATTATAATAAATACTTTTATTACACTAATTATATTTATTTAAAAAAAATAAAAAGCAGTAGAAGAGAATATTGAGGGAAAGAGGCCATGAGGAAGATCTAGAACAATAGAGGCAGAAATTGATGTAAATGCCTGGAGAGATAGGATGCGATGGAGGAGGCTAGTGGGTGAGGCAATGGACTGGCTTCGGTTCGAGACGCCACCTCAGTAAGTAAATCCTTTTATGCTTTGAGTGCAACATAAAATCTTGCTAAATGTGTCCTTGGACGCATTTGCATGTTACTACAGATGGTATCACATTTTGTTTCCGAGTTAGGGATTCACTGACTTTAGTAAATTCTCATTTAGTCACAAACAAAGGTGATAAAGCAGCTGGTGGTCACATGGGGTGAATATCGAAATGAAATCGGCAGTCATCAATGGCTTGACAGAACGTCTTCTGTTGGGGTTTGTTTGACCATCTTCAACAGTGTAACCTGGGGCTGTTCAGTGTCAAACAAACTTACTTTGCTTGTAAATCACGCATGCAATTTTACACCTGGCCTGCTTATATATGTACAGTGTGAACAAGGATGACAAGAGGGGAAAAAAATTATAAATTCATATGTAATACCACAATATGAGTCTTGTTGTTTGGCTGTTGTCCTGGTGTCCTATAGGGGTTTAGAGGCTAAAGACCCTCTTTTCTTTATGACATTAGTTAAATTCACTAATGTGAGTGGGCGATTTTTTACTAGCAGTTTGTAAAAATCTGAAAGGAAGCTGATTGGAATCTATATCACACCAGCCTTGCATGGCCTGGCAATAGGCAGCGCTGGGACACCTTCCTGCCACTTTTAAAATGCAAAGATCGAGTACAGAAATGAACTGGTTAAAATAAATTGTTCTAGGGCGGCATGGTTGCGCACCGGTTAGCATTGCTGCCTTCCAGCGCCAGGACCCTGAGTTCAGTTACATCCTTTCTCCCCTCTTGGGAGGCTCCGGCTCCCCCCTGGCCCAGTGTTGGATAAAGTGATTGGGAAATGGATGGGTGGAAGAATTGGACACTAAGTTCTGCTCCAACAGCTGTCTTGGTCACAGCAACAATAAGTTGAATGAGCAGTATAAAACCTTGGGATGCTCACCTTGCCACCTTTTGATGCATGAACATTAGAGACTCCTGAACAGTTTGAGTGAATGGCAATAACCATCTGTCAAGCTGTCAGCAAGACACCTGTACTAACACCCCATGGTGTCAACAGCTGTTACTAGGAAACTGAGAATTTTGACAATTTTGAGACTGAGAAAGATGAACTGGGTACGGTCAGCAATTAATAGCATTGGTTACTTGTTGACACATTCATTGTTAAGGAATGAGGTTTAATAAAAAAATCAGACTGAAAGATTTAGGACTGGATTTGTCTGATTTAAGGCTACAGCAGCTACCTGAGAATGACAGAGGTAAGGAGAATGCTTGCAAGTTTCTGAAATGGTGGTATGAATAACCAGTCTGGTTAGATTTGCTGACTTAGAAAATAAAAAAATGCATTTTAATAATGTTGTGCAGCTCTAAAGTAGTTAGTTTTTCTTTAACTACTTTATGGTTCCACTTACGTGACCTATCTCAGTTCACCAGCTGCACCGGATAACACCAACCAACCATTAAAACAAGCCCAAATATCAACTAAAGATAGTGTTTAAAACCATTTACTTCTCTGAGAATATCATCTTAACAGAACTCCATAGAACTCAATAATTCTGTTGTTAATCGAGGTTACTGCCCATAATGGCTGTGGGTGACCCAGAAGGCTCACCCATTGACTTAAAATAATAGTTTAATCAGAGCTTCAAAACTTAGATTATTTTTTATGGTGGTGAACATTTCGGTTGTGTACACTGTAAATAAAACTCAGCTCTAGCAGGGTTTAACAAGTATGGTTCCCCACTGTGTCAGGTGCTTTGGGACGTGATCGAATGAGAAAAGGGAGTTTAAATGTGATCAGCATCCCGTTCGGTCATAGTATCATTACCATTCGTTGTTTGTTCCTCACATTTTAGGATACATGTCTTCCATGAATGCATACAGTAGGTGACTGAAAAGGCTAGTATGGGATCCCCTCTCTGGCAGGTAGAGCAGGTGTTGTCTTGGCAGAAATGTGATTATGTACTATACAATCTGGTTGTGGGGAGCTCTCTTCAGTGCTCTTGGTTTACGTTTTCTGACAGTAAGATTTTTTTATGTTTCACAGTGCTGGGTTCTTTCTCAGATACTCTTCATCCATTTGATTATGGCAAGATTATCTCCAAGGAGATGATAAGAAGGATCTCCAAAGATGTTCCATTCCTCCCTCTGTCCTTCTCTAGTGTGTTTGACTTGGCTGAGATGGGAGAAAACCTTCTTTGGGATCCTGGATAGTATAACTAAACCAGAGCTTTTTGTGATCATTGCTTCAATGATTATGCCTACTGTACAGAGAACAGTCTTATTGATTCACCTGTCCTCCAGCTTGATGCATAAAATCAAACAGTGTTGTTACAAATCACGTCTTTTTAAGTATTTCTTGTATGTAGTCCGGAAAGAAAACTGTATGGTAGATTATCAGCTTGGTTTCAGTCCTTTGGTGGCCAAAAGCTGTGCACACGGGTTTCATTTGATTCTGGATTACTTCATCAATATCAACCTTCTGTGAAAGAGAAATCCCAAGTTATAGGAAGAGTTCTAAATTCTATAGATACTTACTGTAAATTTGGAGATTTATGATGGAGAAATTTGGTTCCTCTGAATATTGATCCTAAGATCTATTTTTTTCTTTTTCTCTGTAAATATGTTGATTGTTGTCTGGAAATCCATTTTTTTTTATCAAGGCACATACAGCAGCATTATCAGAATACTAGCTTTTGATGACTGAAGCTGGAGTGAATTTAGTTTTGAACTGGAGTTGTTGAAGAATATTTTCTCTATTTTTGGATGCTAATAATTCTCCATCCTTTTGGGAAGTCAGCTGCACTCCAGCAGGGAGCTTGTCTGTCATCAAGTAGTGCAGAATGCAAAAATAATGATTTGTGGTGATGACACACACTTGTTCGACTCCATCTGGGTTTAAAAGGGTTCTGCAATGGATTCATTAGTAAGGATTACTGCATGCATATACCATCAGGAAGCAGGCAAAGTATTCTGACAAGTTGTGGATAAGTTCAAGTAGGTAGAAGTGTCAGCATGCATAGGCTGCAAAGGAACAAATGTCCAGAACATTTTGTCTGTGGACCTGAAGAAGGATCCACAGCTGAAACGTTGTCTCTTTTCTTTTCAGCCTGGAATAAACCTTTACCTTTTCCTTTGCAAGTGTTGGATATCCATACTTCAGAAGGATCTACCAGAGTGCCTTGTAAATCAAGTCTGTGAATGCTACAGAGAGAGGTTGGTGTTCCTACAGTCATTTTTTTATGGAAATTAAAGGCTGTGTGCAGAAGGGAGATCTCTCTGAGTTTTACATTACTGGATTTCTATTCTTTCTTAAATATTGTTACAGTCACACACTTCACAGTTAGGATTACCCCTTCATTCCAGATCTGTGTGACAAGAGCATGGAGGTTTACTGTTGAGACAGTAATGTTCACTGTGCTTAAAATTCTCAACAAGAATTCCAACACATCTTGCTATTTTATTGCTGTTCCTTTCTCTGATTGCTTTCTTCACCTCCTAAAAAGTAGCTCCAATCTTGTCTCTAACTTGGTTTGGGTGGGATGGAATTTAATATACTGTATTGTACTGTGCTATTAAAGTTTTGTATTGTACTGTGCTGATTATTCATAATATACATACTGAACACACATACCTTGAATTCCCAGAGTCTTGTTATATTCAGTCATAAGTTACTGTATATTACACAATATGAGAAATAGATTTGCAGATTAAAATCAAGAAAGGTTCAGTCATACCAACAAGCAATCTAAAAGGAAGTGTTACACTTTTAGATATGAGCACAGTTATTAAATATTGTTTACCTATAATGTTTTCAAAGTCTGATATATTTGATTTATTTTCAGATTCTTTAATATTGATACAAAATAACTGGAGTAATTAAATGCAAGCACACCTCCTCAATTAGATGGCCCATTAATTATTGTAAATTAGCGTCTGAGGTTTGGAAACTATGGAAACATAGTTCTGGACCGGGCTGCAGCAATAAAGTAAAGGTCAGGTCGTAAAATCCAGCACTTCAAAATGGTGTAGTAAAATAAATGTCTGCTATCTAAAATAAATAGTAGCAATGACTCTTTCATTTGCCAGAAACAGAGCTGTTATTATCCAGCCTATGAGAGACAGCTTCTTAATAAACTTTCACTCAGGACAAGATAGTGAGGCACACAAAATATCATTGCACAAATATTTAGCAAATGAAGACAGCCAGAGTCATTGTGGCTCTTTTCCTCATTGCTGTTAGGCTTACAAACCCATGCTGCTAGGCAAGCCCCCACTGTAGTAAAAGCTGGCCAAAGCTTTTCATTTTCCAGCTGACTTCACAGACCTTAATTGAAAGTTGGAGGAATTCTGCTCATTCAGGAGGGAAGAGTCAATCATAATGCCACAGGCATGTAAATGAAGTTCTGTGGAGCACAAAGGAGCTGTTAATGATGTTGACCTGTGTGTGTCCTGATAGGAAGTGAGGTGGCTGATTAGCCAAGAATTAGTTGATGTTCCCTCATTCGTTTTGGGATTATTGCCCAAACACAAAATACCACAATTCAGTAATAACACAGAATTGATTGTTGAATACAGGCGAACACAATCAAGTAAGAAGAATACCCTTGTTCCTAACAAGAACTGCATGTTTAGTTTTGCTTCCTGAAACATTAGACAACTTTGTTTATTTTTTTCTAGTGAGAGCATGTGACGGCTTTTCCTTTTAACTGCATACAAACATCCCTCACTTGAAATTAGAAAGAACCTTGTGCTTGTGTTTCTTGTTCCTTGTCTGCCGGGGGTGTGAGGGCCATGTAAAAATGCAGTGGACACTTGTCACATTGCAACTTCATTGAATTGTTCTGTTGCATTTTATTTTAGAGGAAAAAGAATTCCACTAAATGTTACTTAACTAACTGTGACCAACCACTTAAGGTTATTTTTCCACTACTGTTTTCTATTCTGCTGAATTACAGATCAAGAGCAGTGTTTAATGTTTGCTTAAAGCTTCTACAGAAAGGAAATAAAATAAGTATACAGGGGCTGAACAGAAATCACAGACATGGTCAAGCAATGAAACAAAAATGATTTTCAGAATATATTGCTAGATTATTGAAAGTCCTTTATCTTTAAACTTTCATAAACTTTAAAAGAAATTTAAAAATTAAATTTATTAACCCATTATTGTAACCCATTCACATGTTACATCAATTTTTATGATGGCATAATTTTTCAAGCATGTGGATGTGTTCAAGTGCAGATGTTTTTTAGCTTCTAAGTATTATAATAAAAAGAATATTAACCATCAGCAACGTCAATAAAGGCCCCATTTTTCGCTTGGTAGTAAGATTTTTCAAGCTTTAGAAACCAAGCATTACTGAAACACCAAAGAGCTAAATTCTGGGAATGAATTAGGGTTGCTTGAAATCTGGCCACGGATTATTTTGAAGAAAATTGAACTTCTATACCTGTGTATTATTTGGCAGAGGGGTAGTGGGTATACTGTATGCCTGGATGCAGCTAGAACAGGTTGAATGGAAGCCTGGGAGCTAGCATATGAGAAAAGCCACATCATGACTTCATACATTTTTTTAAATGTCCTACAAATGCCAAAGTGCTATACATTTCTTGAATCAATGGATTTCAAGATGTTTACATTGTTCAACCCTACAATGCACACAGCATATTTTTGCACAGAATGCCAAGTCCTGGCTGGTTAAATTCACATACAGAAATACATAGTTTGTATTTGGACATATACTGTAAAATCTCCCATTGATTTTAGCTCAGATGTATGTTTAAGAATTATCTGGAGGAAAGATACATGTTTCTGCTAAAATAATTTTATTTATTTTTTTGTGAACACTACTTCACTTTTTCTTTACAAGCCTGGCTTTTTTAACTATTTCAGAACACAACCTGGTATCAGGGTCAGATTCTCAATACAAAGGCTCTGCAGTATGCTTCCCACACTCACAACTTCAACATTTTAAGTAATTAAAATGAATGAAATACAGTAAATAAATCCCAGCATGCTGTGTGAATTTTACTTTCAATAGTATTGCAGTTCTCCTTAAACTAGTAGCCAATAAATGGCCTAGATGAGCTTCTCATTTGCAGCCTTTTTAGAAATGGTTCTAATTATGCACTTGTGTTGTATATGTACTGTATCTGGGTTACTACACAAGAAACACATTATCTCTCTGTACAGGCCACATCCTCATCATAGTCCATTGTTTCCTGTAGGAGAAACTTCCCCACATTTCATCACAGAACATAAGCCAAAATTCTTTCTGACCCCACCCTTCCTATTGTCCATCATTTCTATTAGAAAAAATCACCTATATACAGTAGTTTCTCTGTAAGTAGCTTTTTTTGGAACCTAACCACAGAAGATATTATTATACTCTTAATTTGTACTGTTTAAATCTACATTTTTATACTTGGTAGAGGTTAAAGCAGAATATATTTATTGCAGACACTATCTTTAGAGTAAATGCCTGTAATAAACACATTCTACTTACTCCTCCACCCTGGAAAGGCATTGTTTAAGAATAGTATGATTTAATAGTCTTACAGCACGGCCGATTTCAATTCCAAGCTTTGCTCAGAGTTGAGGATTTGTGTGAGTCCAGTGATACCCTGAAGTTCAGGTATGTTAAGATAGGATGGAGACATCATTCTGAAGTACAGTACACTTGGTTCTGCAGATTACCAAAAACAATTTTATTGCTATAATATACTCCATCAATTTTAGAAGGCAAAGTAATTAAAAATGACCTTTACATTTTCTCACTTTACAAAGACTATATTAGTAGAATACCAAAAACAATCAATATGGCAATTCTCATTAAGCATGTGATACATTTGGGAAAAATAGATGCACTAACACATGCTTTTAATATTCATCTTTTAGATAATCTTATTTAAAATCCTTTACACCCTGAAGTATTTCAGACTCAAAACATAAGTTTGAGAAAATCACAACCCTTTTTCATTAGCTTTGCAAAAAAAAAAATGTATTTGCCTAGCATGGAAGCAAAACAGTGAAATTATGTTGATTTAAGCGGGCTTTAAAGAACACCATTCTCACTTTTTGAATAAATTGTCAAGTGTTCAGTTCTGACATGCCTGGGAATGTTCTAAATGATCATGACTTGATTTTAAACACTAGGCAATACTGAGTACCACAAACAAAGTCTGCAGGAAACAATCTTAACTGTGTACTACAGATGAACTTCAAGGAGTATATTTATCTTGTGAATTACATTTTTGCATATAAAATCAACTAAAAATAAAAAAACACATTTGGATGCAAGTACTTTTTAATAAGTGGTACATAACCACTGTTTATCCATATTTTATTTGATAAAAAAACAACTTTTTTAGTAATGATACATTTAAAGGATTGCATTTCTATGATTATAATGAAAAAACACCTTTTAAAAGTCATGGTATTATTTTATTAATAGTCTCAATAGATGCTGTGTGAGCTGCACTCTTATTAAAATTTATTTCATAACATAAGCTCATAAATTCTCAATGAAAAGGACAGCGAGTGTAAGAGTCACATTGGACTGATTTGCTATCCGAATTCCAAGTCATAATGGACAGAGCACCTTGAGTACTCCTTTTTCCAATGAAGGGCTGGCACTGAACAGATGCATTCTGTGCAACAGGAAGCTCACCTCCTGCTGCAGTGCGACACCTTCATGTGAATCCCCTGCTGGTGTCTCCTGCCTGCCAGAGACTTTAAAGGCCAACAGTAATCTTGAGAAGAGAAGACTCGCGAGACTACCAGGGGAATCATGTATTTAAAATCCTCAATGGTATTGAAAAAGTCAACCAGGTGGACTTCTTTAGAATCACCACTGTCACAGTGCACCCAAGTGCAAAGTGAGGGAAAGTGCATTTAAACAGAGAACAGAAAGCACCTTTTTTACACAAATGGTTGTTAGAGTCTCAAAATAAGCTATGTAGTCATGATTTCAAAGCTGTTATTGTAGTTTCATTCAATAAATGACTATATGACATCCTCAGATCGATTTGCTATGACAACATTAGACTGATTATGGATCAGGATTTATTCTGTGAGTGAGTCAGAGAGGGTCAGTGATAGGAGGCATTGCATGTGAGGTATGTGGAGAATGTTTTGGTATCCCAATTAAACATCCAGATATCTGCTGGGTAAGGCGACACACAAGTCCCATAAAATATAGAATGCAGCCAGACAT